AAGAAGAAGCCTGATAAAAGAGGCCCGTCGTGGCAAGTGGTTCGCAACCGCACCCGCAACCACATGACAAAAGGCACACCCTCCTCCGCGGTCGCTTACCGTCCCGCCGGCGCTCGAGGTTGGGTCACTGCTTTGATTAACAGTGACACCGGAGACTCCACCCGCTCAGACGCAGACAGACCCCGTGCAATGCCCTCTCTCGTGTACCTTCGTTCGAGAGGGAGAGGGGAAGGGAGGGAAAGAAAGGAGGAGAAGGAGAGCGAGAGGGATGGAAGGAAGGGAGGGAAGGGAGAGGAAGGGAGGGAGAGAGTGTGAGTGAGAGAGACTGTTATTATCCTCTTTAAAAGCGGGGACACTAAGGCGAAGGAGATCACGAGGTGTTTCTTGAAGACGTCGAGAAAAAGCAAGTTGGACGGATTTTCGATCGGCGGTGAGCGAGAGGAGGAAAAAGTATGATCTCATTTACGATGATGATTTAAAAGATAAGGTACTTGGCGTTCGAGAACACGTGCGAACGGATAACCCTTTAGGATAGTGTTATCCTAATACTTTGGGTTAATTGCCGATCGCTCTTACATCTTAATAAGACAATCGAGGAAGGCACACACACACAAGAATTAAAATTATAAAAAAATGCTTAAAAAAACGATTAGAAATGAAACAAAAACAAATGCTAAGAAAGAAGAAAATAGACAAATGAATAGAAAGAAAACACAAAAGCAAAAAAATAATCGTTCGATAAGAAAAAAATGAAAAATCAAACGAAATACGCACAAGACTAGATTTAGAAAGAATGAAATAATGAAAAGTAATCCAAAACATTGCGTTATGCTTGGCCGTCACGAGAAAGCACCCCTGCTACCCTGGCACGGCAAGTACGGCAAGGTGGAGCACGTAACGAGGCACGGTCATGCAACTGGACCCTTAACGAAGTCCTGCAGCGTGCCAAGAATGGGACAGCCACGCCAGCCGTGGGTTCCTTCCGGAGATGTAGCTCGAGCCATGAACGGGAAGGATGCGAGAGGAAAAGTGCGGTTAGATCACTTTCTAGAAAAGAAAAATGCGTCTAGTTTACTTCCACTATTAATATATAAATATATATAATATATATATATATATAATATATAATATATAATATTGTATAAACACATAATGATACAATATATATATTATATTATATATTAATATATACAATATATATATTATACATTATATATACACATATATATTTATCATATATAATCATATATATATATATATAATAATATATACATATATAACTACACATATATATTTACAATATATCATATATATAATGATATATATATACATATATATATATTATATATATATATAGAATATTTATATATATATTTATACATATATATATAATATACATATTATAATACATAAGCTTATATTATACATATATATATATATATTATAATATTATATATTATATATATATTATATACTAGTATTAATATTATAGATATGACCTAAATTGTATAAATAAGGCTTTGAACAAGAAGTAAACTTTTTTTTATGGTTACGTTGGACCGTATATGAAAGTGACACAAACCGACTTGCACAGAAAAAATATCCAAATTGCTTTTTTTCTATACGTTGCTTTGAAACCATGTACTGTCCAACCTTCAACCGTGCTGCGTCAATGAACTTGAAAGAAAAAATAAAGGAAATCACCCCCCTTGGATATACCACCCACCGTGATTGCTTGTCAAGGATCAAAGCTGTCAAACGCCGTGGGTACACTGCCATGGAGAGAGATGAATAAGAATTGGAAATAAAAAACATACTGTCGCGAATTTTTTCCAAAAAGTGTCTGCATGAATAATTGTGACAACCGTCAACAAAAACACACCGAGAAGAAACCTCGCTTTTTTTTACGTTGCTTTGAGCCATGTATCTGTCTCCTTCACGTGCTGCGTCAATGACTTGAAGAAAAATAAGAGGAATGAAGATGACAAACCCCCCCTTGGATACCCACGTGATGCCCCCCCCCCCCGTGCCCATGCTTGTCAGGATCAGCTGTCAAACGGCCGTGAACACTTGCCGGGAGAAGAGAGAATGCAGATATAGCAGACGCTGGATAAAACCTGTTCGCTGGGGGCCACTTTTGGAGCGGGTCCAAGTTCTGATGATATTGTGACGTCAGAAACATCACCCGAGAGAGGAAGCCTCGTTATTGGTTGTATGCGTGGGTTGACTTGGTCTCCTTGTTACCCATTGGATGGCCGCGTCGGGTTAAACACTTGCCCGCTCTGTGATTGGACGGGAGGGAGACCAAAGGGCTGTGATTGGCTTAATTCTCGGGTGTGTCTTATTTCCTCATGAATACGGCCGTGCGTGTTTGCCTGTCCTGATGCCTGTTTTGCAATTTTAATCTCGGATTTTTTGCAGATGTGGTTAAGATATGCCAACCATGAAAATGAGAACAACACATGTTCTTTTACGTAAGAACTTGGCCTTTGCCCGTAAA